CACACACACACACACACACACACACACACACACACACACACACACACACACACACACACACACATTTTGGTAAAGGTAGAGACATCAGAGCCTGAGAAAGGAATTTCATAAGTGAAAAAAATGGCAAGGCTGTCTCTAAAAAGAAAAAAAAATGAGAAGGAAGATGGAGGTTTTCATTCACACAGGACAGGCTCTTTTTTATTATTTSAATGGGGGTAGGTTAAAGTACGTATGTCTTCTGTCTGTCAGTCTGTCTTGTATACTATTTAAAACAATCTTTCATTGCTTCTTGCAAACTTGTTTTATTTAAACAAGTTTTTGTTTTTTTTGTTTACGGTATTTACTTGTTTTCACTTTTTTATTTTGTTCAGCACCTCATACTCTACAGTATRGATGCCTAAAAACTGCTGTATAATTATGTTGGAAAACAATCTTGTTCTGAGATAACTTTTCCAACATTTGTTGTGTAATTTGTTCAGCAGGTTTTTTTGACTTTCTTATTTTATAATTGGTTTTAAATTTGTAAGGGAGTGTTAAACTGCAGACATGAGGTGTTGTTTCACAGTCACCCATACTCAGTACAGTAATTTATTTATTTATTTTACAACAACTACCTCATATAGATATGTTTTTGTGAGTAGACATGCTGAAATTTAGTTGATGTAGAAAATCAACTTTATGTCAAGAAGGTAAAAAGGTCAGTATTTCAAGAAAAGGTTTGCTTTCAAGCACATAAAATCACTCAGAGATGAATGTGCAAGGTCAGGAGATGGGTTCAAAGCTGAAGTAAAAGTGTTACACACAAAGACATGACAATTAAAAAAGTGTATTTTTTGAAGTAAGAGGGCAAGTTCAGCCATGAACTTGAATGAAAAGAATACAAGTCAGGGCTGAATAATTAGTTGACTTGGTTTACAATGGATACAAACTTTGTTAAAATCCTCTTTATTTTGTWTACATTGTCAAAGGTCATAGTTGATTGTTTGTTGCTACATATGTGTCTCAGTTAGGCTCTTTGTTACCTCATCAGTTTATGGGCCTTGGTTCAGTAGAACTATATGATGTCAAACTGAGAAAATCCGGACTCCCTCCGCCYCCTGGCTGCACCGAGAAATTTTGTCCATGTAAGTTATGAACAGAAATGGTGAAAAAGGCCAAACCTGGTGGGGTCCAACTCCCACTTTGAAGGGGTCCAATTTACTACCAGCAATGCAAACCAAACTCTCGCACCGCTTGTATAGGGACTGAATGGACCGTAATAAWGGAACCACAATCCCATACTCGAGTAGCACCCCCCCCCCCAACAGTTCACCTCAAAGAACACAGTCACATGCCTTCTCCAAGTCTACAAAACACGTAGACTGGATTAGCAAACTCCCTTGACCCCTCATAAGGATCTTAGTGAGGGTAAAGAGTTTGTCCAGTGCAATGGCAGCTGGTGGATTTTTCTCTGGGGGGGGCTACAACTCCAAAATAGGCTCATCTCCAAAAGCAATCAAACGTGTACAAAGTTGCATCACAACAGCATATTTATTAAACAAATGAAAATAATAAAACAGCATTACAATATCATTGTAGTGTTTTGTTTTTTGTACATAAATTTTGCTCTTCTGTAACTGAGAAGCAAATTTCTTCATGATTCTGGTTAAAGTCAGGGATGCTTTAATAAGATTGTTCTTTATAGAGCATGGTCAGTGCAGTGAGATGTAATCATGTGTACCTGGGGAAAGTCTGGATTCTCTTCAGTGTTGAGAAGCTCCTCTCAGATTCAGCTGTGGTCAGAGGAGATGTGATGAGAATCTTCAGCCAAGTCACATGCTACATTCACACCAAATGTGTTTTGAGCAGCAAAAAAGTGGCCAAAGCTTCCAGTTGGACTCACTACGTTCAGACCAGAACAGAGACTAGACCAGCGTCTGAAGAGGGAGGAGCGTCTTGTTTTTTTTTTTTTTTCTGTCTGTCTTTGGCGTATGAAATAAAGATAAAATAAAGAAAATGGCTTTGCTTTATTTACTAAAGAGCATGTGAACGCCAGATAATAAACTCACCAGATGATATAGAGCYRGTTTGTTCAGTTAGTYTTGCCACTCCAGGAGCWGCGAGCTGACAAACTATTTTTTGTCCCGAACYCAGTTTACCACTGCAGTCRGTTTAACGAGCTGCTGACGCACTTCGGTGCTGATATCTCCAGCCAGAACACCAACTGCAGACGGTTGATTTCAGCTAAAGAGCTCCTGTCCATCTGTTTGTGGGCAACATTCAGGAAACTGTCATGTGGAAAAATGAGTCTCTCTGATTGGTTGTCAAGACGTGTTGAGCGGCGAAAGATCAGATTTTTGAACTTGGGCGTCAGCTGCTTTCGCTGCACCGCATGCACGGAAAATGCTCTGCTGCACCTTCGGCGAAGAGCTGGTACAGAGCCACAGCACCACTGCAGCTCCTGAACTAGATCAGACTTYTTTGTCCTGTTCAGYATYGGGTGAGCCCCCATTGTCTTCAGTGCTGCTTCAGAGAAMTGTTCTGCAGGAACCTGTCTGCCTGCAGCAGTGTAGCTCTGATCCAATGCTTGTGAATGTCTCAAGATGGTGTCACAAACCTAAAACAATAAATGCACAAATTTAATTCAATATGGAGATGGCTACAAGTGAGATTTATAATATATATTTAATATGCAGAGAACAATTAATGGTATTTTAAAAGCAAAAAATTGTTGCACCTCTAAGGCAAACTGTTACATTATATTTTTATTTTAAAATTGTATTCATTATATTAAAAAAACAAAACAA